ATAAATCAGAACCAATTTTTAAAAACTTCTTAAAAATTTTAGCAGGCAAATTTGCCTGCTAAAATGGATGGTTTAAGAGATAGGCAATTTATTTTGCCAACAGCTCAATTCATAGACAGCTTTTTCATCAACAGCTCATGATTAGTGATGGGTGATGCATGACACAACTTGCGTCATTGACGCATGATAAAACCATTTTGTCAGACAACTTCGAATTGATGAAATGATGCATGATGCAACTTATGACACATGACACAACTCATGACACAACTTACCATATAACCATGAAGTATCACACTGGGGCGTTATTTTGAAATTTGGCCCGAATTAAGCTTAATTTAGGCCGAAATTGAAATCACACCCCTGCGTATTATTTTGCAGTATACGGTATGACTAATGACGTAACTTAGGCTGTTCAAAGCTAATTTTTCAGTTAACATCACCCCATTTGGCATCTCCCGGTAAAATGAACATATAAAAAAAGTAAAAATTAAAAATACCGTATGATCACAAAACATCGCAGTTTCGAATTTCGGCCTAAATTAAGCTTAATTCAGGCCAAAATTCAAAATAACTCCCTATGTGCTATTTAGCGATTATACAGCAAATATAAAATAAAAAATAAGTTTAAAATAAAATAATTTAAAATAAAATAATTATCATAGCTGATGCTGAAATTAACTGATGCTGAAATTTAGGGTCCCAATTTAAATCTATAATATCTACTAAAATTCACATATACTTTTTATTAATAATACTAACTTCAAATCCTAACCTAACCCTATAATAAAACCCTAATGAAAAGGCCTAAAAAATTTTAAAATTTCATAATAAAATAGGTAAAAATTTTAGCATCAGTCAATTTTAGCATCAGCCATGACAATACTTTAATTAAATCAAAATAAATTAAAATAAAATAATTTAATTTAATTTAATTTAAAATAAAATAATTTAAAACAAAATAATTTAAAAATAAAATAATATAAAATAAAATAATTAATTAAACCAAAATAAATTAAATTAAAAGTTTAGACCTGTGGCTTTTTATAGTCCCGTCTAATTAAAATAAAAAATAAAAAAATAAAAAAAATAAATAATAAAAAATCAAGCTAAAATTTTAGTCCCACTTGGCTGTCCTCTCATGTATATTTATTTCAGTTTGTGATGAAACGATTCAAGAAAAACTGCTGAAAAAAGAGCTTCTGAAGTTTTTTTATTCAGAGAGTACTAGTATTAATGAGTAATAAGAAATATTTAAATAAACATTTAACTTTTACAGAAATAACAATTAAAAATCAATTATTCGAATCGACACTTTTTTGCATTTTTTAAGCCATCCAATCAGTGATTTATTTTATTCAATGAGGGACAAAATTTGTATTTAGCCAATAGGAACTTGGAGATTAGTAAATCCAAAATTTCTATCTACAATTAAAATCAATTAAAATTATCATAAAATTAATTGAAACCCAATTAATTACGAAATAATTGCAATTAATTGCAATTAATTCAATTTTCTTTCACTGGTGTAACCTATCTTTTAAATAGCAAAAAATCAAAAATCATATCGTAGTAGTGAATATACAATATTATCTAATTATGTAAAATTGCAATTAATTGACTAATTGTGACTGCGCTACTAGTTAATTTATTGAGCTTGAAAAATTGCAATTAATTGCTTCTACAATCAACTATTCGGTAGAACATACTTTAAAAAATTATGCAGATCCAATCACTAGATCACGAGAATTGTAAAAATTGTATGTACGTACGAAGTTCTTTTTCTTGGATATATAATTAATTAAATGATAAAATGAGATTTATGAAATTATGTCTTGTTAGTTAATTGGGATAGACTTTGGTGAAATGGCATTTCAGTAAAATTGATTTCGGGAAGTTAACCCGTAACTATAATAATTGCGTCAATAGTTGCATCAATCATCATTAGTTGTGTCAATCGTCACTAATTGCGTCAATTGTCAAAGTTGCATCTGACGAAACCATTGACGAAACCATTTGTGTCATGCCAAAATCGTTGTGTTATCCATCATTACTCATGATTAGTGTAAATTATAAAAAAAACTTGTATATTAATGGGCTGTCGATGAAATAAACTGTTAAATAGTATTCAGTGAAGCAAATTATGAATTGATTGTCTGTAAAGTAACCTTGTCAGTGAATTAATCATCTATGAAGTAAGGTGCCTACTGAAGTAATTGTCAGTGAAGTTGTATATTAATGGATAAAATGATAAATGAGCGAATGCATCATACCAAGAGACAATATAAAATAGTTAATTAAGTAAAATGAATGAAAAAAAAGAAAAGTAAGTAGTTAACTCTCTTAATTGTGATAAAATAAAATCGAAAGAATAAAAGTTAAATGTATTACCTGAGATATATAGAGTCTCATTCAGAAAAACCACTAGTGTGTCATAACGCTAGATAGGAATAGATTCTCCAAAGAATACAAAACCATTGCGATGAATTAGAGTGTTTTGACTAACTATGAAGCACGTTATTTACTGTTTTGGTTTGACATTTCTTATTGTAATATTATATAGATAACATCAATATGAAATGTTAAAATACAAACAGTAAATGACACACTCCATAGTTAGTTAATATACTCTAATTTTGTAAATTCACCAATGCTTCTTGATGCTAATATAAATAAATTTAATTAATACAGGCTTGATCGCAGAAGCTCAAATTTTCCATAATACTTCTATAATATTATATCTAACTTTTACCTCAATAATCAGATTCTTACTAATATTAAACACACCTTAAAGATCTATGAAGATACGATCCTTTATCATTGCTTTTTAAATATTGCTTTTTGGATATATTCGTATAGGAAAAAATAAAATGTGTTGGAGGATTTTCGACCATAGCCAGCCCTTTGTTCTAAAAATATATATTAATAGAGTTTACTGTAAGTGATATAAATTGTTACAAATATTACTGAAATATTGATATACTATATCAGATAGCCAAATTGAGAGCATTATAAAGGTAATTTCAACATGTAGGTCTTTGTAACTTTCTTTATTAAGGCAGGAATGATTGTGCACATTGCAATGATATGCATCCTAATTTTTAAACCATTGTTAGCAATATCTTTATTATGTAAAGATAAAGATGAAACACTTGGAACCCAATTTTTGTTTTTATATTTAGTTGGTTTTTTAGTATTATCTTTACATTCGCTTAAATCTGATTCCTACAAAACCATTTATAATTATACATATCAATGTGCTTTTGTATCAAAATCAATAAACAGGATTTTACTATAAATATATATAATACATACCATTTTTTTCATTTATTTTGAGAAGTAGATGATTGCTTAACAATGACATAAATTCCAATATTACTCTTTCTAGCAGCTAACTTCATATATTCAGATTTGAACTTGACAAAATCTTGATTATTGGCCAACTGAGTACTAGTGCCTGTTTCTCTCTGTGTTTTGACTATTACAGAATAATCGTTTGGCATAATAGTATTATCCTTTGCTACAGAGTAAATTTTATTATGAATGGATAAAAGAAATTAATCAACTGTCGATACAGATTCTTTGAACCATTTAGCAGTAATGAAATCACATCTGCTGTTTTAACAAATAATTTATAATTTATTGCAAATTTGGATTCATCACCCTAACTGCTCATTTTACTTCATTACTTGCTGCAGCGATGTTGCTGAGAAAGGTGACCTAGTTTTTTTCTATAAACAAAAGTAATATTAATAAATATAATAATAGCAACAAACCAAAAATTTAATAGCAATGCAAGAAAAAAAAACTCTTTCTGACAATTATTTGGACTACAATTTCTAAAAATCCTTTTACTAGAAAAAAATACAGTACACTAGAGTAAAGTCGACGACTTCTCACATAAGACATAGGAAAAGGAACTGTAAGTCAGCAGCTGTTATTTAGAGGTAGTTCTTATATGCTGCTTGCTAACAGTTTTAGAGTTTATCACTTACTGAGGTCATTTAGAAGTAGTTCTCATATGCTACTTGCCAACAAGTTTAGAGTTTATCACTTACTGAAAAAACCTAGTACTGTGCAAGCTCTGGTGAATAGTTGATTCTAGTAAAAGAAAACCTATGCTCTTTTAGTAGTTTTAAGTGTTTTCTCTTTCTCTCGCATTTTGCCAACCTCACCAAAAAGTTTGACAAAAAGTGGGCATTTCAGCTTACCCCCTCCAAAAGATCAGCTTTATTTACACTTACCTAATTCAGATAAACTCAGTAGAATGCAACCACATGTTTGTTTTGTTTATCACTATGGTGCTATGGTATGGGAATGAGATCGATAACCTTGTTTAGAAGATACCTGACTCTGGTGATGTGTTCAAAACAAGTCCCAACATTAAAGCGAAACTTTATAGCTGAGATATATTAATTAGTTGCAATTAGTATATAATTTTTACCTTTATACATGGCATGGGTTATAATAGTGTATTTTTCTTCTTTTTGTTTCTTTTGTTTGTTTTTTTTAAGGTGGTTCATCAGGATGCCTAAGTCTTTTTTTCTGCTCTTTTCATCTTGTTCCTATTATGATGGAACCATATTTAGGACCCCTTTTTTTTCAGTTAAATGTTTTTTTTTTCTTTTTTTTGTTTTTCTCTTTCTTTTTCTAGATAGTTTTGTTTTCTTTTATATATGTGGCATATTTTTCTTCCCTTATGGAAAAGTAAGAGATAAACTATTCTGCCCAGATCTAGATAAAAAAGTTTAGAAGGAAGGATGGATAGTCTTAATGAGCTGGTAGAAACCTTTTGGTGAAGATTTATTCTTTGCAAGTGCAGTAAAGAATATTTTGGAGAAGAATCCTGCCTATTGCAGGTCGTACATGGGTAATTTGGACTCTGGTCACAATGAGCCAGGTGAGCTAATACTTGTAATTTAGGTGGCGTTAGTGTTTAAACCCTATGAAAATTTTAATATTTCACAGTATAATATTATAAAGCCTAATAAAGTAGAGGCAAGACTGCCGAACTGTT